CCCACCCACCCACGTAACATCTCGCAAGAAGCAGGGGCAAAGCCAGCCCACTTCTGTATCCTGCCCCCCAGCAATGGAGCGGAAGCTCACCTAGGGGACCAGGAAGGCTCGGCTGGAACGGGAAATGAGCAGGAATGGATGGGGACAATTCACATCTCTGGAAGCAGCGGCCCCCCCAATCATCTGGGGTAACATAACCCCGAGGTAACTTTAACCGTCTCCCTGCTGAGGGCCCAAATTGCTGTGTTAATGTGGCCTCCTAGAAGGTTTCTAAACGTCTCCCTGGTTTGGGCTCTGGGGGCAAGAGGTGGCCCCAGCAAGGAGGAAGATGAGGCAGAGGAAGGCGGAGCGGGTAACGGTGCGTGGGAACGACCTCGGGAGACAGGAGGAAGGGCTGCAGCCCAGACCAGGTCTGATAAATGAAATCTGAGTCCGAAGGGACCCTCCCTAGTTCTCGGGAGAGTGAAAGTGAGGGACGGGAGGGGTACTTTCAGACTTGCAAGATTCTGTTACTCTAAACTTATAATAAAGGTAGTGTTAGTACTCATGGTTGGTGCTTCTTGTCTGGACTACCTCGACGGGCTGACAGAGAGAGGATGGCAAAAAGGCACCGAGCACAAGGGACCTTGAGCGTACCTTGAATGCAGCTGACCGACTGATTAACTGTTCAAGGCAGGGCTCCAGGGCACTCCCTTCTACTCTTTTTTCCAACAACAGTCTTGTGAGGTAGGAAGAATTGGGAGGGAGGGACTGGCCCCAAAGTCCCCCGGGGAGCTCCCATGGCTGACGGGGACTAGACCCTGGCTGTCCCCACTTCTGGTCCAGCACCTTCCCCACTGTGCCACTCTGGTTCTGGTCCACATTCCCAGGGAACTTCTGGGGCTGAGGACCAGAACCCGGATCTCCCACTCCCAGTCCAGACGTCTCCTCTGCCCCAGACTGGCTGGCTGCTACGCATCCCCTTTTGTGGGTCACAGCCCACATCCACAGGGGCTTTCACCAACTCCGTTTTCCCTTCTCTCTCCCACCCCCAGAGCTGATACTGCGTGCAAGTCACTTTTCTAAGCAAATTGTGATCTTGGAAAGGTTCTGCCGGAAGTATAATCAAGAAAGCACTCTTTATTGCGCCTTGAGAAAGTCTACGCACACACCCCTTCTGCAGCTACGTATCTCTCTCTCCACACCCACCCGCAGGCAGAAATCTAGAAACCAGCTTCCGCTCTTGGGCTCCATTGCTGGATGCCTCCAAGTGCCCTGGCTGCAGCAGGTGGGCTCTTTTTAAATTTATTTGCCACCATCTGAACGCCACTGACTTGCCAGCCTTAGGTGGCTTACAATTACAGTACCCAAAATGAAAACGTAGCCCCTCCCCAGGACCATCTGTGGCTGCTGGACAAGGAGGTTCTGCCCTTCTGCAGGCCCCACAGGAGAGCACCGTTTCCTTGTCTTCCTAAAAGGCAATAAGGTGGGGGCTGCCCGACCCTCGGGGGCAGGTTATGTCAAAGTGGGTGGGCTGCTAGAGCCCCCACCCCCGATCTCAGGAGCGGGGAGATGGACTCTTGCGCCCCCTCACTGCTAGACCAGGCGGGGGGGGCAGGCGATCCGCAGCCCCCGGCCTTGCTGGTGAAGGCTTCCGGCCTGAACAGACCTGAGGGTTCGTGGTGATATAAAAGCCGGAGACGCCGGCTTTCTCCAGGGTGCTCTGTTGGTCCACCACTTTCTGATCCAGCTCCAAGACGATCTTCTCGTCCATCATCCGTTGCTCGGTATGAATTCGCTGCTCCACGGCCTGAGCAAACGAGAAACCCGAAAGGCCGAAGAACCACCACGGTCCGCAGCATTTGGCCCTCCTAACAAAGCCCCAAGCCACGGGCTGAGAGGGCAGGAAGCGCCTGGCACACGCACCAGGGTTGCTCTGTGTTGTACACTGAAGACAGGGCGTGGTCCACAGGGCGTGATCCCAAAAGTCAAGACAGCGGCCACGGCAGTGCAATCGAAGCTCCGCCTGGTTTTTTGTGTGCCATAAAAAACCGGTACCGCTCAATTGCAGCATCGTGGCTGCCATCTCACATTTTCGGAGCACGCCCTGCGGACCCTCCTGTTTTAAGGCCTTTGTGTCCCGTCCAAACAGAGGCTGATCTTAGTCTAGCCCGGGAGAACATGGCGTTATTCAATGCTGGCCTGTTGAGCACCAGCCAAGAGATGCCAGTTTGCTGAAAACAAGTCGGGTACGGAATGGAGTTGGGCTTGGAAACCCTTTATGTCCATTACTTCTGCGTGTGGACTTGTACCGCATCTGACATTTCGGTTTCAAAATACCCAATACCCGATTCACTACAGTAAGGATAAATTAAACGGAAACGCTTGTTAGTCGTTCCTCCTGATTGACGATTTGTATTATACTGGCTATCTTTGATTATTGCTGAATACTGATTTGATTTTAATAATGATTCTGAAGTGCTAAATTGATAAAATGGGAGGCAGTAGCCAACCGATATTACTTGAAAATTCTTATTCAGTTTTGTATAACTTGTAAATCTCTTTTCTGTTTTCTTTTTGTTTTTATTTCTTCTTCTGTTCCTTTTCTTGGTTGTACTATAACATATCTATTAATAAATCAATATACAAAAATAAAGAGATATATAGATTAATAAATCAATATATAGATTAATAAATAAAACAAACAAAAACTTACATTAAAAAGGCCGATTTAGTTCAATTCCCATTCAGAGATGAAATTTGGAGGCTGTGGTCCTACAGCGCGCTTAACTGGTCACTTCAAGGTCTAGCAGTTGTGTTCACACACAACCCACTAATCTTAGTGAATGCTACCACTGATCATTCTGTGAGCCCAGCTCATATATGCTCCACTGTATACTGTACAGCCTCCAAAAATGGATTAATTCAATAAGTGTTTGTCTGAACAGGGTGACCTCAGAGCAGCCCTGCCACCCTCTCCTGGCGTCCAAAAGTAGAAGTCGGGAGGAAATGTGCACACCCCCTCCCACCCACAACCTCTCCATGGAGATCTGTGTGACTGTATTCTGATTGCAAAGAGGACTTGAGATCATTTCAACACAAGATAGTTGCAATTCCTCTCCAGTCCTTCCAGGAGCGCCTGCTGTGTCTATGGCGCTTCCATGAACACCTGAAGAAGGCTCCTCTCTCACCCTTAGAGGGACGTAAAACGGAGAAGGAACCACAAATCTGCTGGGCCAAAACATCCAGAATCTGGATTTAGACAATCCTCCTGATGTTTTCCAAAAGAGTTGTAAGCTCCACAAGCTGTTCATCAGACAAGAGGATTAGAAACTAGCAAGGGGAAGGGGCACAAGGGGAGAAGATTTATGGCTGGTCTTGGAGCCACACCTGTGCCTGTCTTCGCTGGACGGAGGGAAAAGTCTCCATGTATGCAACCAGGGATATTATCATACCCAGAGATGTTGGCTTGCACTGTGTGTGTGTTTTAACAGTGGGGTGGGGGGAGGAAGTAGCCAACACCTTTAAGTTAGGGAGCAGACATGCCATTTTGAAGGCCAACAGGGCTTCCACGGTAAAGCCTCCACGCTGCCCTTATGGACTTTGGCCAAAAGCATCTCCTGTGCAAGTCTGTCTCACTCCGGGCTGAAGCCCAGGAGGGAAAGGTCATCCCCTCCAGACCTGTCCTGCCTCCGCAAGCGTGGCCCTTACCTCCAGCTCTCGCTGCTGAGCGGCCTTCAGAAGGGGCAGGTTGTGAGCCTGGCAGCTCTGCTGGTCTTCCTTGTGTTTACGGAGCATCTCCTGTTTGAGGGCTGGTGGGAGGAGAAAAACAGAGCGAGCTCACCAAGACGCAGCCCGTCACCTGCCCAACACGTTCAGCCTCTGTTGGCTTCTCTGCTACCCTCGTGGGGTGCCGTGACACCGTACAGGAAGCTAGAGCAGCTGGACAGGAGGAGGCATCAGAGCGTCACCACTGAAGCCATCAAGTCCAAGCCCTGCCCAGCGCAGGAGGCCAAATAAGGCATCCTTGACGAATACCTACCGAGCCCTCTGCCTCCTGGGTAGTTTATTTCCCAGCCCAACTGCCCTCACTCCTCCAAAGCTGTTCTCATGTTCAGTCAGACTCTGCCTTCCTGTCACATAAATCCATTCCCCCATATCCAGATTGATAAAGCATGCTTTGATCTTCACTTGGGTGACACCTTCTTAAAGCTTTGAGGAGTGCCATTGTATCCTCCCTCGGGTTCCTCTTCTCAAGGTTAAACGCTTCCAGATTCTTTTATCTCTCTGATAAAAGGATCCATGATCGACGATGACACATCTTTCAACATTTCAGCCATAATGAAAATACCAAACAGGGTCTATGTAGTCATAAGGGTATTTCTCAAGGTTAAACGCTTCCAGATTCTTTTATCTCTCTGATAAAAGGATCCATGATCGACGATGACACATCTTTCAACATTTCAGCCATAATGAAAATACCAAACAGGGTCTATGTAGTCATAAGGGTATTTCTCAAGGTTAAACGCTTCCAGATTCTTTTATCTCTCTGATAAAAGGATCCATGATCGACGATGACACATCTTTCAACATTTCAGCCATAATGAAAATACCAAACAGGGTCTATGTAGTCATAAGGGTATTTCTCAAGGTTAAACGCTTCCAGATTCTTTTATCTCTCTGATAAAAGGATCCATGATCGACGATGACACATCTTTCAACATTTCAGCCATAATGAAAATACCAAACAGGGTCTATGTAGTCATAAGGGTATTTCTCAAGGTTAAACGCTTCCAGATTCTTTTATCTCTCTGATAAAAGGATCCATGATCGACGATGACACATCTTTCAACATTTCAGCCATAATGAAAATACCAAACAGGGTCTATGTAGTCATAAGGGTATTTCTCAGGCCTGGCCCCAAGAGAATTGTATTTTTACCTTTGGTTTCTTTAAGTTTCAGTCCACTGGCTGAGTTCACATAATATACTGGACTGAAACGTGGCTGACTTGTTTAAGAGTCAGTATGTTGTGCAACTGTGGTTCAGTTAACTGTGAGTTAACCTGTTGCATAAACCCAGCCGTTGCGCTGAGCCAGTTTTAGGAGCCTTTGAACAAAGACTTTTATTATATTTATATGCAATTTTAGGCCAGCTTATTTTTAAGGAATGTACCAAGTTTGCAGAGCATGTTAGTTTAAGCTAAAATGGGGTTGGGCAATTTATGGCTGGCTGTGTTGATGGAAGTGAGGACCAGGTGTTAATATGATGCATTCGTTTTGGCACAGCATATTAGGCAAACACAGCAATTGTGTTGTGTTGGCTTGAGCCTTCCAACCATATAGATAAAAACCAATATGCTAAAAATCCCTGAGCTCTGAGTATTTGCTTAGAGGCCAAAACGCATTTGGTCAGACAACCTTCCACAGTGACACAAAGAGGTTTCAGCTGAAGTGTGTGGTGAGGAACACATCTGCCAGATCGCGCAGCCCCTCCGTCCCTTCTCCCCAGGCGAATTAGGGCCGCCTGGTCCTGGCCTCTGCCAGCTCCTCTCACTCGCAAAAAGGCAGAAGGGGAAAACCACGCTTTGGCCCACAGCTCAGCCCCTTAACCGGAGAGTGCAATGGCTTGGCCGGCGTGACCCGTTTGCGCGAGTGGCTGCCTTGCCTCGATGCTCCGTCTGCAGCTTGAGCCGCTGGTTGTACAGGTTCCGCTCCGTCAGGTGCTGGATCTCCAGCAGGCCCTGCACGATCTCAAAGACCGTCCCGTCCAGGAGCGCCAAGGCCAGGTCGCTGAGGATGGTGTAGGACAGCCTCTGCTGGGAAGAACTGCGGGGAGGAAACAGCCTGGTAGCCAGGACTGAGCAGCTGGGCCCGAACCAGAGGAAGCCAGCATCGCTTTGTCTAAGCTGGCTTCTTTCTCCCAAGCGCAAGGCGGCTCGCCCTAATTTCACCCCTTAAATCAGGCGTTTGGTTGCAACGGGATAACCTCCCCATTCGTCTGCATTCCTGCTCATTGGGTCAAAAAGCTTGAAGACTACTAGTTGGCTGGTCAACAGAGCCTTTTCCTGTGCTGGCGTAACACGCTGTACCCATACGAGTGGAGCACAGCCCTGGTGGGAGGCTTCTGCCTGAACCACTTTGGGGTCCGGGCCTGCTCCTCCCAGCTGTGACTTCCAAACCTCTAAAAAAACGCCTTTCTGGAAAAGGGCGTTTAGGCTGGTCTTTGTTAGACCCGGGCTTACATGCATCACCTCCGTTCCAGAGGCCTGAGTGAGAACGGCTGAGCTCCCATAACAGGCGGACCTCCCAACCGGGGCTAGCAAAGCGCGCCTGCTGTGCTCCCCAAACCAGGCGCATCTCATGGCTTAACCCCATGGCCTGCCAACATCACCTACTCCCACCGACTTCCTGCGTTACGAACAGGAGTTAAGGCGCTGGGCCATCTCTCCTCACCCTGGAAGCGACCTCTCATCCTAGCCCTAACCCTAGCCCACCTCACAAGGCCGTTGCTCGGAAGGCGGCTCCGGCTCCTGAAGCCGAGGCGGAGCGACCTCCGGGCGGAGGCTGCCGGGCGAGAGTCCTGCTGGCCCTGCGCGAAGCCGCCTCCGCTTGCTCCGCCGCCTC